TTGCAGTATCGAAATTGGATCGCCGGTATTACAACAGCCGTGTTGCCATCCACATCTGGCAGATTCTTATCTTGCAATTCATGTATTCCGCTCACCCATGCATTGAACGACGCAATAGGTGCGGCTGGAGGTAGCTTATGATCGAGTTCTCATACTGATCGCTTTATCAGCATGAGGGACTGGCTCAAACATCTTTACGAGGCTATCAATCCACCCTTCTTCATTCAAGGTTCCCCCGCGGACCTTGACATGAACTTGATGCCTCTTCGTCTAGATGGCATGAAAGTGGTGAAGCTCTGGATCCGCGAATCCTTCTACTCGCTCGACCCATTCTATACCCAGGCTGAATTTTTGACGGCGTTGATGGGGATAACCAGTCTAAGTTTCGCTTTTGATAGGCACGACGCACCTGTCTACATCTCTCGAGCAAAGTGTACGGTCTCTGGACCGTTAGAACTCTTACGCAAGGCGGACGGTCGTTATATGGTTCATGACCTGCTCAGTTCTTACCAAGGAGCTACCCGTAGCAGCATCTCATCTGGAATCCTGTATCTTCTGTAAGCGTTCTTTTTGTCCCTACGTGCATTCAACTAAGTGCAAATCAGACATGTCCTCGATAATCGTTTATATGCCAACCTCTCCGTGCTGTGCGACTGTATCGAGGACATCTGCAGCGCTTTTGTAATCAAGTACCGAATGGACCCGGGCTTTAATAAGTTTCCCCTCCATGACGTCGTCCTTCCATGCAACTGGTTGCTGTTTCCCCACAAATTCACTGCGGAGAAAGAAGCTAAGCTGTTTTTGATGGGCAAGCTTTTGGATGAGATAGCGAGGGTGGTCGAAGCATTGCGCGTAGAAGCTGGCATGGGTGAGTCTCTCAACTCTTCAGAAATCCGGGATTATAATTAGGCAGAATTCCTCTGGCTGAACCATACTAAATTTACGCCTATTCTCCGCAATGTTTTCATTTCGCGGATGTGAGTCCAGCTTAGTATCTGTTCGTCGACGAAACGCATATTGACCACATGTAATGCAGCTGCAGGGTTCTCTGCCTTGGTACGTTTGTTATTTCTATTCGAAACCCATTGGCTGCTGAATTAGTTCATTAGTTGCTCATAACATCAGGAATCGGTTCATGAAAGACAAAGTTGACAAGATCATGCTTTCTCTGCACAAGAACAGCCCTCCTTCGAATTGGCGTACGGCTAACTATCGGAAACTTGTGGATGACGTGGTCAAGTACATGACACCGTTGCCAGGACGGGCGCCATCCTCAGACGGTTACCTCCGAGCTCTCGTCGCCTTCGACAACAACATGGGAGCGAGCAATCTGGTGCATCTTATCCACAAAACAATGGATCAGCGCGTTCGAGTCTATCCTATCCGTAGACTCTTATACGAGAAGGTCATCGAGATTCCCCATTTCCTTTCATCGTACGCAGTGATCGCACAATCTACTCTAAGAATGGATGCCCCGGCCTTTGTACCTCGCTTAGAACATTCCAAGGACCGACCAGAGGTTGTGCAGCATGATGAGAAAGAGAAACCGGAACCACAACCTCAAGAGTTTGAAGGAGAAGAAGAAAAGGAGGAGGATGTCGTAGTGAATGCTGATGCCGAGACACGTGATGCGTTGGAGACTTTAGATGAGGCGGTGACGTCGCTTGCACCCGATTTTGATGAGTCGCTACGCTCTAACGGACCATCGGTGGAGGAAGAAGAAGCGGCTCGCAAGATTCAGAACGCATACCGCCGTTACGTTGTACGCCGCTCGAGTCGTGCAGTGAATGCCGAAATCGATGCGATATTCATGACATGCCTGAAGGAGACGCAGTCCTCTGAATGGCATCCGGGTTACTACAACTTCTTTTTCCTTGGACCATTGCCTCACCTTCTGGTTTGCCTGGAACGAGGCATTGCTCTGACTCGCGCTGCCAAAGCGAAGACGAAAGGCCTTCTTAACAAGGAGTCTCATGAAAAACTTGAGGAGTTGGGCAAGCAGAGAAACGAGATAGTGTCCGTCTTCACTCACTCAACAACATACAATAACTAACACCGTCCTGTTTGCAGAGGGCTCCTTAAGAAGGGATCGAAATTGCGCAAGCAGTTAGAACCTTCCTCACCGGCTCATCGTGCCCGTAACATCGACGCACTCAAAAGTGGAGTTCTAGAGGTCAAGGAATTCATGCAGAGTGTTCCCAGCAACATGCAAGATATGCAATCCGACTTTCAAATGGCCTATAAGGGCATCGTTGCAGAGAAGAAAGCTCCTGTGCGAAAGGAGAAAGAGAGACCTACTCTCAATGTCGAGGATATCGACGACTATTGATTTTACTAAAGTTGTGGAGAGTCGAGACTGCCATTTCGTCGTGTATTAGTATTAAACATATTGTACAGTGTAATCAATGCCTGTGCGTGCGTGAGAGTAAACCAAAGTCATGGTGGACAATAAACGAGCATAGAACATTTTTGAACACGGGGATTCCGAGCTGCCACAGTGCGGCTATGTAACACTGTTCTACCACATGACGCGGTGCTGTTGACTGAATATCTTCACTAATATTTGAAGCAAATGTTGCTTTGACTAATTTTAAGATATCATGAGCATGCTGGAGTGGGGGACCCCTAGGCGAGGGGCGGAAGTAGCAGCCGGGTAGTACCATAGCTTAGTCAGCTGCTCAGTGTCCCCGGTTCGGGTTTTGTCGTCACGCGTAGTGCTCTTCACCACTTTGCCTTACTCGCGACACGCAGGCACACAGTCGCAGATACACTGCTCCAATGCTACTTATGACTGCCCGAATTTAATGATGCCATTCATCACATTCGGTGTGTGCGTGTTATTGTGTGTGGACTTCTGCAGGTAATGCCTACATCAGCACTACCGCTGGAGCTGCTAACATATTTAAGGATGGAACGATTGATCGAGATCCCACGGAAGGAATGATTCTGTCCGATTGCCCATCATGTGAGGCCTTCATAAATTATATTCTGCAAGCTTACAACGAGATGAAAACCGATGCGTCGTAAGTACTTCAGTCATATTTTACGCAGTCACCCGGTGTTCCTCTAATTTAAGGTATTCTTGAATGCTCGAGCATGGTGAAGTTTATTCACCGTGACAAACGAGCGTTCAGTAACGAACTACTCAAGAACTACTTACGTGACATGGCGTCAACCACACTGCACCAATGCAAAAGCAGAAACACGACTCACTGTCACGGTGAATATGGCTTACACAAATACACGATGCCATTCTACCAGGTCGGTGAGTCACGGAGTTAGATGAAAACTACTCATACTCACAGGGTGGTCTATTTCCACGCATACCTGGCCATGGCAGCAATTTGAAACTGTAGTGGCGTCGCAGCTGACGGGACATTCACTGTCAGCACTGACAGGAGACACTGTCAACTTAAAAGCAGCAATAACGGCGAGGACGAAGGAGAGACGCATTATTTGTGAGATGTGATATGGGATCCCAAAAATAAATCTGAAGGGGAGTAGGAAGACAGCTCGCTTTTATGCCCTGAATAGTGCTCTGCGCAGAACCTCGGCCCGTCCACCTGAAATACTCTTTCAAACAGATATCATTTATATTGCCAGCACATTGCCAGCAGACCTCAGATTTGACTTGCTCTGTCTCCGACAAAGTTCTCTTGACGTGCCAACTCACTTGGCAGAAGAACAATGGTAATGTGTAATTCCTAACTTGTTGTTATATCCGGCTACGATAGGTGACGCGACGATTCCTGGAACTGGGCTCAAGGGTCTCATGGATACAGAGTCTCATCATGCACACATGGGGGAACGCAAAATCGGATACCGGGAGATCTAAATTCCAAGTGAGAGTCTCCAGGTATACTGTCATTTTCGAGACGCACACTATACTAGATATGCCATTGTTGAGAATCTCAATTGGTTCATATTCTATTGAGATAGATTTACTCCAAGGTGCCGCCAATATATTTCAGTGAGTTCCGCTCGTACTCCGCTAGTTATATTCTCCGCTAGTCATATCAAGCTCAGTTCATTGCTAATAGCTTGCTGAAGCGCTGATCAACAGCCTATCCCAATAGCGACCGTTTCAGAAGTCCACAGTGCTGCAGAACATGCCAAAGTCACTATATCAATGAGGAAGGGCCGCACTTTGCAACGTGTCTCACTGACTCACTCTCTTATCAGGAACCTCCCAACATGTTTACATCATTGTCTATATCTTCGCAAGTAGAAACCCTTAAGTTGAACTTCTTTTTCAGTTATCCGATCAGCTCGCGGCGCCGTGTCAGGTTGGCTCCCGAGATCCCAAGTCCAACTGGTTTTTGCCCTTCAGCTCAGATCCTAGGTGTCAATGGCCAACTTTGACTAGGAATGATGATCTGCCTGCCACGGTAGTTGTTGGCAGCTAGTACTACGGCCCAAATCGGTGCATAGTATGACGATCGTACTGGGGAAAATCCCTATCATGCTTGGAAGCTTCAACATGCGGCTGACTCGTGGGGTTGTGAAAGTAGCAAGGAGTCCGCGGAGGCTAAGCGCTAATGGTTTCGAAGTCCGCAGCTTATGTTGAATTTACATAAGTGAAGCGTGCTGAGTCAGAGTAGTGAGGCCTTGAGGTAAATATTGCTGCTCGCTCTACTGATAGTATACTTAATACTGTACTTACATACACTTAGGAGTCGCATCCTTGTATCGATGAAGATCGAACTTCCGACATGTCCTTAGGCTCATGAACTCCTCTTTCCAACAAATCCAGAAATATCCTCGAAATCCAGATTTCATTAGTCCAAGTTTGTCCTTGCCAAGCTTCTGATCATGATAGTAGGTGACTAGGTCTGGGCATACTAACGCCTTCAAGTTCAAGCTAAGCTTTAAGTTCAGACTCGGAGGGCATGTTTAAGGGAGCTTTCTTTTGCACCATGATCTTTGGTGTACCAACCACAACCATTCAAGTGCTCAAGCTCAAGCTTTGAATGTCCTTCTCAATTTCTTCATGTTTTACTATGACAACTTACTCTTCCAGTTCTATGGAACTGTTTTCAACCAATCAATTGGCCGATGAAACAGGTCTCAGAGCTGCCTTGTGTCACTTAGACGCTCTAGGAGGTCACAGTGGATTACAACCTACAATTGAGTATCTGCTCTCTCTCCCTCATGTTTTTGCACACATTGTCTCAGGTATCTCGCAGACTTCATTTCCATGATATCAACTAACTTCTTGAATAGTTTGGGATCGCTCTACAGAAATGATCTCGCAACTAATGGCTGACTTTCCTACAGACACCCAAGAGTACCGCTCATCTCTTGCAGTGCAAGATGCTGGACAATCTGTCTGTTTATGCTCTAGCCCTGCCAATCGAGTCTTTGGTGAGGGAAGTCGCGAAGGATATCGATCACTACTGGGCCTTCATTGAGGGTGCACAGCCCGTGCTGTGTGCATTGAGCACCATGAAATTTTCTGACATAAAGTCGCTTGAGAGCGATCCCGATCTCTTCGAGGTCGAACCTGATGACAGAGTCGTCAACATGTGGGCGTCCTGAGTCATGCGCAAGCGTGATTGCCAGAATGCTTGTGTAACTATTGATGCATCACTCTTTGTCAAACTTGGCATGGCTGTGCCTCCCACGAGTGAGGCGGCCACATTCGCTGTCCACCTACATCCTTGCAGAGCTGAAAAAAATCCTCTTGGTGTGTATTCTCATGCTGTACTTTTCGATGTTCCCTGACAGCTCCCCATCAAAGCCCTTCTCTTCCCAAATGTAGAAGAGTCTGCCAAAGATGTTGCGCCTGAAGTTTCATTCCCTGAAGATGCCAAGAGCTTAACAGAACAAAGTGCATATCTGATGGTGCAGCCCATGAAGGCTGCTCTTTACTTTGAAAATGCGAACTGGGTTCAGCGAGTGGCAAATTCTGATATCCTCTGAGGCATATAAACATCTACGTGAACACCGTCGAGTGGACAAAAAAATATTCAAGATTATCTACAAGAAGATCAAGTCCATCTTTCGACGTCATTTATATCACTGATCTTATAATTACCACAGAAATCTCTCGCACTGGTCAATTCTCAGCCAACAATCACAAGAGACTCAATGGGCCGGATGCAGGCATTCCTGTCTTTGAAGCCAAGATGACCAAAGACTTATGGCTGGTGGTAGACATCATTTCTCAGAAACTCTGGGCAGGAGATAACCTATTTCTATCACAGTACCAGATTGATTGCGTCCCTGACCGGGATGGAGAAGTGTGTGATTCTTCCTTCAAAGACCAGCAAATGATGCTGAGACCAATTCTTGATAGTCAGAGAGACAAGGTGCGCCATCATGCATCACAAATGAACATCAATGTTCATAATCACTCACGCGAATACCAGTCATCAAAGTATACGGGATCTATAGACACTCTGAGCTCAGCAGAATATGGAATGCCTTGGGAAACCATCTAGCACGCAGAGGTGCAGAATATCGCAGATGGTTGAGCATACCTGTCATCTATTATGCGGCCAACTGAGTAATCGCTCTATCAGATGCATATTTTGCACCAAACCAGCTGACAATGTTATTCTACCAGCCTCATTCCCACCGACGGAGCCCAAGCCAGAAACTCCGGCTAGCCCACTGGATCTTAGTGCCAAGGACATGGAACATGTTGAGTGTTTATATTTTTTGGTAGTACAGTGGTTGATCTGTGGTGCAGCTTCACTCTTTGCTTGTGTATGAGTGAATATTTTGCAATTTGATGCATGATGGTTGATGATTATCTAGCCTAGAGAAATATGTTACATTCTCGCAAGTACGTTTGTTTGTATAGTTCTTTGATATAGAATGAGTTGATAATGTCTCCTCAGGCATTTTTGCATAGTGAGCAACCTTATACTTGGTCATCTACATCGTCTCATTCTTGCAAAAGGTCTCATCGCAAACCAAGATGTACACCATGTCTTCATGCTCTCGTATGTCCTGCTGCTTTGAAACGGGTTTAGCGATTGACATTGCTTCAGTCCTCAAGAACAAAAGGTTGTTGAATCCACTACGTCATGCTATGTTTTGGGTCGCAGTGGCACAGGGTAAGTACCTTGGGCTCGACATTGCTCACATATCTATTTCATGGGCCACTAGAAAAATGACGACAATGCTGTTCAAGATCCTTGGCATTCAGCGAGCCTGGGAACTGAGTGCCACTGACATGCCCTAGCCACATCAAATATTTGTCACTAAATCTAGAATGCTGGCAACAAAAGTTGAAGAATACTTCACTAGGCTTCTCGAGTCTCTTGCAATGGCAGGCTATACGCTGCAGGAAATTGCGAAACTTGAGGCACAAAGCATCGAGGACGATCTTATTGATCTTGACACATGCTCCTGAGTCGCAGATTGGAAAAAAAAAATGTCCCTGCGAGAAAATACATCTCAACTTGAAGACAAACATTTCCACTTATTCGTGACCTTTGATCGAGTACGTCACCATAGATTCACAGACCTTCTTTGAACCTCATTTTATTAGCTAGCAAAGATGATCGCAGCCCGATATCTTCAACATGGAATGGAACCGGATACAAAACGGTAGTGCTGAGCTTTTTCTTCAACACTAACGCTTTCAGAGGCGCATGGGCTCTTTGGGTTCACCTTTGCGTTTTCACAAATCATATTAGCCACATCTCCCACAGGGTTTTCACCAAGAAATTTAGTAATACTACTTCTGGTCTATCAGCTATCAGGTGATACCTCACAGGTCCACCCAGATTCATGGGTTGGGTTTTCACGAGTTTATGGGCAGTCGATGTCCTTATCCAACCAAGCAGTTCCTGAACCACCTCCAGTATTTTATCAAAGGCTCCGTAACAGGCATTGGCCTTTTACGGATGGATTCCTCCTGCCTCAAAACCGTCCAAGCTACCTTCGTCTTTCCTGCCGCTCTAATTCGATTTTTGCAAACCAGAGAGACACACTCTATGATATGTTCGAGATCTACAGGAAGTTCAAGAAGCAGAAACACCACTTCAATGTAGTGGATCAGTACGGGTCATTTTTCTTAGACTCGTTGGACCCAAAATTAATTCCAAACAGTACGCATGCAATACTCAAGGTCTTACGAAACCAAAAATTTCCTGGTCAACAGGTTGATTACCTGTATGTATATCTCCTGTCTGGCTAACTCTAAATCCTGATCAATTACACCAGATATGTCGACGAGGTGCAAGATAATCTTTTGATTGATGCAATGGGTAAGTCATCTTCCCTTCTTCAATACAAGGGTGTGAAGGAACTTTGTATTTCAGTTTTGAGGCGACTGTGTAGGAATTCAGATGGTCTTTTCTGGGCTGGGGATACTGCGCAGACTATCTCTGCTGGGAGTTCCTTCAGGTTCAATGATCTGAAAGTGTTTGTCTATCACATGGAGGTTAGCAACCAGTGATTGTGTCTGAGAGTGTGATTTGACGTCTTCCTACAGCGCCACAGTAGCTCGGTAACCCCCGCTGGAGCTCCTGTGCATCAACCAATGATGTTCCAATTGGCCACCAACTACAGATCACACAATGGCATTCGTGAATTATGCTCACTCTGTCATCGAGCTCATCACGAAGTTCTGGCCAAACACAATTGATCACCTCCAACATGAAAAGGGGTTGGTTGATGGAGCGCAGCCAGTGTTTTTCATGGATGTGGATAATGATGCTCACTGCAAACAGTTTTTGGTTGGTGAGAGGTAAGTAGACCGCCTGAATCTTCATCGTTCCCCTGCTGAGATTCTCACAGTGCTAATAACTTAGAGCTTGGAGCCCACCAGTGTAAAAAGTGCCTGCTCAAGGTTCCGTCCATGTTCTAAGAAGTCATTATATAGGCATACTTGTGCGTAACGAAGCAGCTGTCAAGAAATTGTGAGACAAAGTAGGTGAGATTGGAATAATAATGTGAGTTGTCTCAATTATCTGTACTCCATGATTTTGATGTTCATGTGTCTGCATCTGCTCAGGACACTCCATGACAGTAAAGGCCTTGAGTTCGATGATGTGAGAAAGCTGACCTTGACTATTTGACTGAATGACTGACTCTGGCCAGGTTCTCTTGTACAACTTTTTCGGAGATTCCGCCGTTGATGCGTCACGCTGGCGGATAGTTCTCAACGGGGTGCAGGGTCAAGGATATGCACCTGATTTTTATCGTGACGAGACTCGGTACGCTGCAATATGCAGTGAGGTAAGTACACCGTTCATCAATCGAGGAAAACATATCACTTACTTGTATTAGTTGAAACACCTCTATGTGGGGATTACCCGAGCAAGGAAGAACATATGGATCTTTGACACGTCTAATAAGTCTGATGCTATGCGTGTACGTCTAGACCACCTGCATCTCATGTGCTACTTGATTCGATAATCCTCTATTCTCAGATTTTCTGGAAGTCTCAAGATCTAATCTGCACCTGTGCCCGCGGCATTGATGTTTCTCCTCTAGCCGTCTCCTCTACTCTGGAAGAATGGGCATCCTCTGGGCGCTCACTGTTCTTGCACAAGCACTACTCGCAGGCTATCCATTGCTTCAAGCGCGCCAACCTTCACCTGTGAAGTGAAGGTTTGTGAAGCTTATATACTACGGGAGGCAGCACGTTCCAGTGTCGGAGTGGATTTAGGTTAACATGCAACAAAGGGCCTTTACTGCGGCGGCAGAGGCCTTTGCTGACTGTGGCACAGCTGCGACAGGCAATGAGAGACATCAATATTACTGCACCTCGGCGGATTGCTACGCCCGAGGAGGACAAGACCTCAAAGCTGCTGATACCTATCTCAAGGCTGAAGAGTTTGAGCTAGCTGCAAAGAAACACCGCAAGGCTGGATCTTTTGACAGGACGCTCCATGTCCTTACTGACCACCACACCATGATACCTGAAAAGACCGCGACAGATTTGCGGATGGTATGTCGGCTTCATTACTGCGGTGGAAGCGACGATCAGTAAGTGACCACAATCTTACTATGATCTGGTTTATTTATGATCGTGCAGAGTCCCTGTGCCTCTATTCTCTTCGTTTGATGAGGAACTCGAGTTTTTGGAGGAATATGACTTGGATTGTACTTGTGTTTCCCTTCTGGAGTCTTGCTTGATGTACTATGAAGTCGCGGAGATACACTTATCAGAAAACTGCCCCATGGAAGCAGTCCAAGCATTCCTCAAGGACAACAGAAATATTGATTCAACTTCTCGTGCGGCCGACACTCTTCTGGAATTCATGTGGTGCAAATGCTCATTCAGGATTCTGTGCAGCAAGCTATCGCCCTCGCTGATCAGCTGCAGATGAAGAAACTGGAGCCCATGACTCGTAATTTGGTATATATTGCACATTGCTGAAACGCACCAACCGAACTGATTCCTATACAGGTTTTGATGTTTCAGAGCATTTTGTGAGAAGATCACCAGTCGTTGAAGAAACTCGCGCTTACCTTCCAGGAACATGGCCATCACACTGCCACTCTCCATTGCCTGGATCACATTTTCACTCAATCAACAGACATTCACCCTTTCCAACTCCATGAAATGGCAAGCTTTCTTGAAACATTTCATACCTATGCACGACTACTCTATCAAACTTCGACCTTGCATGACCCCTTAGGGCGCCGCGAATGCGATGTGCAAAAACTATTTTCAATTGAGCCACTGTTGGGCGACGAGTTTCTCATACCGAGTGGAACATTCCTCCACGACAGCGTGACGACAACTCAAAACAACCATCTGGTCTCAATGCACCAATCCGGATATAAGGCCTCTCGTATAGATGCCACGGAATTGATCTGTCTGTCCATTTGAACTCTCTTGAAGGACAAGGTTCTGGTGCTTGATGAAATGTGTTGCAGCGCCCCATTCTTTTTGCAGTGCTTGCCATATGTACATTGTCTATGGGAACTGTCAAAGACAGGGATGCCCCCAGGAACATGTCACAATATTGAATTTGGGCCACGTGAAATACAATGCCCACGTTGCGATCCATATGCAGCTGATTCTCATTTTACAATTCTTGTATTCCGCAGAACCTAGTATTCTGCGATGAAGAAGGTGCGCCCAGTGTGGTCTATGGCTGAAGTATATGCTGATACGTTGTTAGTATGAGGAACTGACTCGAACACCTTTACGAGGCGCTGACTCCGCCCTTGTTCATTCAAGGTTCCTTTGCAGACCTTGATTTGACCCTCATTCCGCATGGTTTAGCGGGCTTGAGGGTAGTGAAGAACTGGATTTGTGAATCTTTCTACCGTATGAACCCATCCAAGAGCCCTCAATTCCTGACGACCTTCATGAGAATCACCAGTTTGAGTTTCGCTTTCGACCGGAATGATGCTCCTGCTTACATTGTTGAGGCACCGTGTCTCACCCAAAATATATCCATCAAGCTCCTCTGCAAGCCAGATAATTGCTACGTGGCGAGGGACATGCTCAATTCTTATCGAGGAGTTGCTCCAAGTAGTATATCATCGGGAGTTCTGTTTCTACTGTGAGTTTATGCCCTGTGTTCACGTGCATGTGCTGAAAATTATGCAGGCATGTCCTCAACAACCGTTTACTTCATCAGGGAAAAGCTCCTTCACAAAAACAAGGTAATTTCAGAATTTTTTTGAGAATCCCACGTAATTTCAGTGAAATCGAGTACGACCTGATTTCTCAAGCTCAGTCGCAGTTACTTTGAATTACTTTGAATTTCTTTCAAATTTTCCCCGAATACCATCAAATTATCTTGGATTCAGTCAAAGTCAACATACATGAACATCGATTAAATCATAATTAAACGAAACATCACCATCAACAGACGTGAAAAAGAAAAGAAAAGATCAGTGAACTCAAACTAAGCATGGGTATCAGTATGTACAAATGATGCATCAGATGTAGAGAAGTAACTGACTCAGTGCCATATTCATAGCTTGATTTATTCTTCGACCATTGCGTCGAGATCAAGATAGTCGCAAGTGCTTGATGAGCCAGTGGACGCTGAGTTGTCGATTGCACTAGTGTTGAGTTAGTCAGAGTGGCCAACAATGAAAAATAGCGCAAGCAAGATACACCTAACTGCCTTGTAAAGTTGTGCCATCAGTGCATGGTACTTCTTTCTACTACCATCAAAGATGAGCATGAGAGTCACTTGGTGAGCCTTGTAAACGCCAACGTGGGAGGAGGTATTGAATGATTTGACTTGTGCATTGAAGGCGGGTTGCTGCTACTCCAATCCTTCAATATCGCATAAATCTGTGGAGAATGTTATGTAGTCAGTATAGTATACAGAGTTTGAAACAGTATCACGGCCAGTGCCTACCATAGTTGCAATCAAACACACCATAGCCACAGGTAGCTCGGGCTCGTCGTTTTCATCTAAGACAGAAACAAAATCATCATGGCACTGAGCGCCAAACGAGTCCTCACCATCAAAGAATGTCAATCGGATGGTGTCAATGGTAGCCTCATCACAAAATGGTTGGTCCCCAAGGACCTTACCCTGGGTAGTAGATGAGAATCAGACAAATGAAGAGAGAGATAACCAAATACTAAACAGACCTTGGCATCGGTTGGAAAAATATACTTGTGACTCTTAAGAAGGTCTTCTACCTTGTCAGCGCAGCCTTTCTGCAGTCCAAAACACAATACAACAATTTGATGTGCGAGCTTCTTGAGATTGGTGCGGAAGGAGCTCATTCATCTCTCCGGCTCGTAAGTGTATTAGTTTCATCCAAATAACCATGCAAAAAGAGTACATACGATTCCGGCAAGAGCCAGTGCATAATCAAAGTCGTGCTTCATCCTCTTCGATATCGCATATTCCTTGTGCTTCCCAGCAGCGATATGGACCGCTTCCAAGGCCATCTTTCACTTCTGAGTGATGTTGGGGAATGCATTGTCGAAGAGAGAGGCTTTCTTGAGTTCAAACATGGCGGTCTTCAACACATTCTGTATCCGGGTGTTTTGAGCCTTGAGGTTAATAGAGCCATCTGCTGAGTAGACTAGATCTGTGAATACGGGCCAAGTAAAGGAATAATCAGACTCTTTATCGTCCAACTCAGGAGCTGACTCGCGAGTAACATCTGCTGGCAGTGCCTCAGTTTTCAGATCCGCAAATTTAGGTCTCTACAAAGTGTGATGTGAGACGGAATGATGGGAGTTTGTAGTAGAACATGTCACCTCGAGTTCCTGTCATCCTTCTAGCTTACTCCTTTTCTTCTTGTCTTTCTTCTTGTCCGGCTGGTGTTTGGTGACTGTTGATGAAGCTTCACGGTAATAACACTTGGAATGACCATCAGAGGCTTTGTCAGCAACTTGAAACGGCATCTCCGAGTCCAAGTCAGCAACATCAACCTGAGAAAACACCGGTGGTAGTGCCAGAGGCCATTGACGACCATTCAGATACATTGCTGCTGGATTGCAAATGCATACTGGCAGCTCTAGCCGTGCGAGGAGGCAGCGAATGCGTACTGGCAGCTCGAGCCGTGTGCACAAAATGGGGAATCTTGGTCAAAAGGTCAATTTCATGTTCTTGTTGTTCTTAATGGGGTTGAGAACCTCTTTGACGAGTTCCTCCTGGGAGAGCGACTCAAATCATCTTCTTCAGGAAACTCCATATCGTTGTCCATATCGTCCTCTGATTTTTCAGAGGCATGGTCGCTGTCTCCGTATTCACTAATGGTGTCATTATCTTGAATTGACACTGTGGCTGACTTCGACTTGCAGGAATTTAAAGAGCGGCTGATCTCTCATGACCTTGACTTTCAGCACAACTGATATCTTCATGTGCTTCTTGACCACGGTCTGCTGTTGAGTATCTCAGGGCTTCATATGTCTCAAGTAGCAGTCTGTAACTAACCATTGTTGTGATCTAGCTTTTCTGCAGGTGTCTTCCGTGCTAACTTGGCTGCAGGTACTGATTGCAGTCCAGTTACTGTGGGTGCGCACTTACGACTGTTGGCCATTGTCTCATTCCAAACTGAAATCAGGTACGTGTTAGTACCCACTTTCTAAACTGTGCAAGTGCTGACCTTTCCGCTCTAAGGCCTTTATCTTTGATGACCGTTGCAACGGTTCTTGATGATTGTGAGTCCCTCACAATTTTCTTTTATGTACTACTTACTATCTGTTTTTTCACCAGCAGATTCTTGACTCGCCTTGGCCTTTGTTTTTTTTGTTCCACTTGTGGGTGGCTATCTCTGACGGTGTTAAAGACGCTCTGGGAGGCATACTGACGAGGGGGCAAAACTATTTGCCTCAACCAAAGTTGGGAGGGAGGAAGGACTGACAAAACTGCCAGCAAGGTTCATAGTCCGCTGTTGTTTTGAAGTTTGGGGAGTTTGTTTGTTGTTGACTTATGGTGCTGTTATCACGTCAATTTTTGCAAACTAAAACCTTTTCTGATTCACCGACAGGGCGCATTTGGTACTTTCACTCTTGCACTTTGTGAGGGTGTGTCAGGGGTATTACTTTTGCTCTTGCACTTTGTGAGGGCGCGTCTGGCGTCTGGTATTGAGGGCACATCTGGTAGTATTGCTTTCGCTCTTGCACTTTGTGAGGGTGCATCTAAAATCTGCAAGGTTCATAGTCCGCTGGCGCCACTGTCGTCTGGTTGCTGTGCTGTATGTTATCATGTCAATTTTTGCAACTAAACCTTTTCTGACTTGGATCTATCAACAACCCACGCACGCTGTTTGAATACCTTGTCTCTTTATCCAATCTAACTAGCTTCCCCATTTCATCGTGTATGCACTTCATTGTACCAAGCTTCACTCCTCCACTCCTCCATAATCTTGCTGCCCTTCATCATACCAAGCTTCACTCCTCCATAACCTTCACTGCCCTCGTATTGCTCGCTTCCCCATTTCATCGTGTATGCACTTCATCGTACCAAGCTTCACTCCTTCATAACCTTCCTATTGTCAGGGGTCAGAATGAACACTTGCCCAGGTTGTGCTAAAAACTTCGAGCATACTGGATACGCTCATCACCTAGCCCAGACCATAAATCCATCATACGCCACTCAATTACAACTTTCTGGTCCTTTTTGCTGAGTCGGAGGATGGAGATTCTGACAGTCTTGATGGTGGAGATGACAATTTCAATTCTCATCATCTAACAGAATTTACAGGAGACTACTTTGGCTACTACGACGAACAAGATCTGGAATGGCCAGATGATAACCATGATGAGCCCCCCTTGGAATCTGATGAGGAGGAAGAGGATCATGATGCAGCGCTTGAGCATGGGTGAGAATGCCCTGCAGATCCTGTACAGCAGGATATTGATAGTGGGGATGATTTGGAAAATTCGAACGACTCACAACCACACCCAGCCGAACGACAAGAAGCAGAGGTGCCCCTTGGTCACCAGCCCATTATTGAGAAATTTCCGTGGCGCCATGCAGGTGCTCCAGTCCACCCACTCCCACTGTGAAAGAGTAATAGCGACTAGGCTGGGTTAGAAGAAACTAGCGCTACTTATCCAAATAGGCGCGAGTGTAATATTCGACCCAAGAGGACTGCTAGTTGAAGCAACTCCCCTTCAAATATGCAAGGGTAGTGATGATGCGAAGGGCTGATAACCTATAGCGACCTAAGACCAAAACCAATGAGTAGCGCTGTAGCGATCAGTGACTAGCGACAAGTGAGTTCCGACAGAGAAATGTGCGTATAAGGAAGTAGCGCTATGCAAGTTTGTCCTATGGCGACGTCCGACTAGCGACAGCGAGAAGAAAGAAATCAAAAGAAGGGAAAGCGAGGGATAAGGTATGATAGTGCAAGTGGAATGCCTGATAGCGACTAGATTATAGCTCGACTACCGACAGCGATCCCGATGTTGCGAAGATCAACTTATGAAGGAACTTTAGCGACGCGCACTCGAAGCAAGTCAAGCGACACGTGATCAGAGAGATTGGCAAAGAGCGGAATCAATTGCACCAAAACTAGGATATAGTGACAAAAGTGACTCTGATACAGCAAAGGTCCGGGGAAGGGAAGTACTGTGCTGTATGTATGGATGGGTCATTTTATCATACTGCATAGGGGTTTGGGATGCATAGGCGAGTATAGTAGCGACAGGTAATAGAACATGCGGCGCTGCGGAACATGAGGACACATGTAATAAAACCTGCAACTGATGAGTAGCGACATTTAAGGAAATATAACGCACCAGCGGAGGTAGGTGGACATAGGCAGGACATGGAAGGGCGGAACACCTAGGGCGTGCCGGACAGCGCTATGGGAGAAAAGCGGTTCCAAAGTGGATAGCTTGGGAGCTGAATAGCGCTGGTGACTAGCGCTTTACGTTTCTTCTAGGCAAGTCAAATATGCCTATGACATTCATACGCGCCTAGCGCCGGTATGATTGTCACACCGCACTACAGCTTTCGAGTCGTATAAGAATGCACTGCAAGGTGCAGAAAACGTTTGGGCCCCCTTCGCACATCTCACATAGATTATGAGGTCGCAAAGTGGGCAAAACTTCGTGGTTCTGGCTCGACTGCTTTTTCTGAGCTGCTCACAATCAATGGTGTGAGCTTTCTCAATTGGGTCATGACGCGCCGACATTTACAACAACATTTATATAGCTTCGTGATGCCTTGGGTCTTTCATACCAGAACACCAGAGAACTTAATCAAATCATCGACCAACAGTTACCATGCAGACGACCGCGCTTCAAACACGAAGAAATCATTGTTGCAGACGAGGCATTTGACGTTTACTCACGCGACATCATGGAGTGTGTCAAAGCTCTTTATTCAGATCCCAAATTCTCCCAACATCTCAACTATGCTCCTGAACGCCATTATGCCGATGCCGACAAGACTATCCGACTGTATCATGATATCCATACAGGCAAGTGGTGGTGGTCTACCCAGGCAAGTCGTTAGACAATCTGTTCGAGTCAATATTGAACTTATCGCAACCTCATTTAGAAAGAACTCGAAACAAAGAAAACCTGGAGTGACAGTCATACCCATCATCCTTTCGTCCGACAAGACGCAGGTCACCATGTTTAGAAACAAATATGCCTATCCTGTCTACATGACAATAGGCAATATTCCGAAGGAGATCCGTCGAAAGCCATCTCAACGGGCATGGATCCTGCTTGCCTATCTACCAACTTCGAAACTCGATCATATCACAAACAAGGCGGCTAGGCATTGAATGGCAACTAATTTGTTTCACACTTGTTTGCGTCACATTCTGGAGCCTCTGAAAGTCCCTGGCGAGGACGGTGTTGCGATGGCCAGTGGGGATGGTGTTGTGCGTCGAGGGCATCCGATTGTCGCTTGTTATTCTGCGGATTACCCAGAACAGCTGTTGACAACTGGGATAAAGTCAGGAGAGTGTCCGAAGTGTGATATCCCACACACGGAGTTGGGAAGTCCACATTTTCCTGTAAACCTGCGAGACCTCAATGCAATTCTTGCCGCGTTGTCCCTCATTGACGAGGATTATGACCTGTGGAGACGAGCATGCCAGGACTGTGGCATTAAGCCCATCTTCAAACCGTTCTGGCTGGATCTTCCGCACACCAACATATTCCAATCCATCACGCCGGATGTGTTGCATCAACTGGAACGAGAGGCTGCTCACATCATTCTTCCCTTCGATGCTGTGGCTACATTCCACAGGATCAAATTTCACACAATCGATGCTCGTGGTTTCCGGGACTCGAGTTCAATTGTAGATTCTGTACATTCTCAACCATCGCGGAAGGACAAGAGAGGGCACACAATCCCCGCACGCTTTGATACTGTTTTGGTCAACAGAGGGAATGGTGGGATAATGGGCATGAATGGTGTGTTTGTGTTTGTGTGAACATGGCCGTTAATCTGACTTGATTCCAAAAGGATACTCTGTTGCGCAAGTTCGCGTTGTCTTTACGCTGACAAGTAAAGCTACGGATTTGTTATTCCCCGCTGGACCTGTAAAACCACCTGCCCACCTTGCTTATGTGGAATGGTTCACACCTTTCCAGCAACCCGAATCACACCATGGGCTGTACAAAATTAGCCGTTTGATGCGTCATGGAGAGTGTCTCGCAAGCATTATTGATGTATCGGACATTCGCAGGAGTGTTCATCTTTTTCCAAATTTTGGCGCAGTAGTACCTCGTGAATGGACGAGCAGTACCATTCTGGAGCTCTGTTCCAGCTTCTTTGTAAATTCGTTCAGTGACCGACATGCTTATTTAACTATTGTTTGAGGAGTTTAACGAAATTCGTTGAGATACTGTCGAAATACCTGTAGTTTAGCAAATTACCTGAAATTCCCTCTTTTTGACGCATTTTGTGAAGGAGCTTTTCCCTGATGAAGTCTTGTCAGTGTGGATCCTCCAATGTTTGGCGAGCGAGCCATAGCTCAGTCCACGAGATGGACATGGTCTGAAACATTTCCCGTCCAAGTTTTCCACACCATGCCTGATCTCCATGTTGCCTCAGAGGCTAAATTCCAGGATGTGTTATCTGTGCCTGCACAGTTCTCAATTGCTCCTTTGGGCAGCCTTTCTGTCGCTGCATTACTGCTTATCAACCTGCCTACAGTGTTAGAAAACAGCGCTTCAGCCGCTAGAATCGTCTTTTCCAAACAGTCCCCTTTGCTCCAGTTGCCCACAGACTTTGTTTCACGACCTGTTCCGCCATTTCAAACAGCCTCATCCCTTCGCAATTGTGCTAGAGGTGCATTTTTAGACGGAGATAAATCAGTGATCCATCCTTCATTCCCCAATGACCCACTTCCAATGTGGGTCGTGTCATACTGGCTCGCTATGTCACATGCACTCGAGAATCAGCGTGATTGGCACGCATCACATGACTGGGTCTACGACAGATTTGATGTTGTTCCTACTGACAGACAAGAGTTGGAAATTATTGACAAGGTTCTAGATGTCTTAGAGAGCCTTCCATGGGATGCCCCTCTCAAGGGATTCGGTGCTCAGACAGATCTGAGGAGCACCGAGCTCCGACCGCTGTTAGGATCATGTCCAATTCACGGTCGTGTTTTGGACAGCATGATTGCTGTAGTGGTCCAGCGTATGCAAGCATCAGACGATGAAGACCTCCAGTCTGTTTCGGTTGAATCTCTCGACTTTGCAGATATCCTTCGGCTTAGCGATAAACGGTGGAAGAGCTACGAGACGGACAAGGCTGTCGTTCGCCTTCGTACCATTGGCTCTGCATTACGCGAGGGTGCACTTCATCGTATCCTCCTTCCCATCAATATCGACAATGTTCATTGGGCTGTTATCAAGGTCGATGCTACAAACCAAAGCATCTCCTATGCCGACTCCCTTGGCTGGAGTTGGCCTAACAAAGACATTGATGCCATACATCGTTGGCTGGGCTATCATGGTTTCGCCAAATTCAACTGGGTGACCACACTCCAGCACGGCAAACAGCATGACTTGTTCTCATGTGGTATTGCAGCTCTAAACACTATCAAACATGCCTTGTTTCAAGATCCGTTGTTCACTGACAATAGAGCTTTTTCCCTCCGTATGGAGGAATTTCTTTATATTGTTTATGATCTCCTTGAGGTATGGATATCTCATTCCCGGTGACGCAAATCTGAGACTCACTCTTCATGTGTTGCAGCTCTCTGATCTCAACGACGACCCCAAACGACAGCTCATATTCAGACAGTGATGATGTCGAAACTCAGCCACCATCCCCCCCAACTCTGCCTACGCATCATCCACAGCAAAAACCAAAACTCAACCTCCGTGCCACCAACACAGATCTGAGCACCGGTCTGTTCAAGTTTTTCCCGACGGTTTCACGCAATGAGCATTTAAAGCTTGCCTGGAAGCCTTCTACTCGGGAGCTCAAGGACCAGGATCAGCAGGAGCAGGCCTGTTGCCAGGAAAAGTTCGATGTGGTTTGAGAAGGCTGCTCGAAAGCATGAAATGGCAGCTGAACGTAAGAGAAAACAGCGAGCCCGTGAAAAAGATGCCAAGCAGGTAAGCATATCTTTCATTCCTATCTCCGTGCTTTATGTCTCACGTGGTCTGTCATCAGAAACCAACCGTAGAATCTGTTCTTCATGATCATACTCCCCAACTGCTAGCAGTCACAATTGCTGGGGCTTCACGTCCATACCGTCAATTGCGAAGGCATGCTCGCAGCATGCAAAAACATAACTCAGGCCGGAAGCGCAAGCGGGAGGACACAGAGGCTCGTCGTGTCAACTGGCAGAGCCCTCTTTTATGGCCGACTATCGAAACAGCTGCCATTCGTGTTGGCTATGGAATGTCACCAATTGAGATTGAGCGCGAGCTTAAGCGAGTCGATCCCTCCCGCTTTCATGGTATTTCTGCCCAAGTTATAGGAAGGTGGATTGACCAAAGTGGGACATGGCCAGTATGGCGTGCCAGTGTCCTCACTCGTGTTCAAAATGGCAACCTTCCCTTGACAACTGCAACACCACCAGGCATCCTTGCAAAGTATCCTGAAGTCACAAAGACCATCATCGAAGATCTCCGTGCTCTGCGTGTGATTGGTGTGGCTTTGGACACAATGCGTTGCTGTGGTGTAATCATTGCTCGCATCACTGTCTCTTGCCCAGAAATCTTCGAGGCCACCGCCAAGGATGGCTCAAAATTTCAATGTACTGAGTCTTGGGTCAAGAAATTCGTACATCAAACTCTCAATTGGACATTCCGTCGTGCCACTCGCGCTGCACAAAAGACCCCTTCCAATGCCAATCAACTCTGTCTGGACCAATTTTATCGTCTGACTTTAACTATCCGTGATTGTGCGATCTTCAATGCTTCCTTCTATGTCAACATTGACCAGACCAACATTGTGTATCAACCTGCGAACACCGCTACATACGAGGGAAGTTGGTTCCAAGCAAGTTGCAGTGATTGGACAGGAAGAAAAACGAGCATTCACTGTGGTCATTGGCATCTCTGCCTCTGGGGATGCTCTTCCATTCCAGGTCATCTATTGTGGCAAAACTGCTCGTTCACTCCCCTCGAAAACCACACCACAATTCAAGGACGCACAAGACTGGGCTTTTCAGCTGTGCTTCTCCAATACCGATACCTATTGGTCAACATTCCAGCTCATGTGCGATTATGTTCGCAATATTCTAGTTCCCTACTGGACAAGACAGAAGGAGCTCGTTGGGGCTCCTGATGACCAGGAATGTATCCTACAGCTGGATGTTTGGTCAGTACACAAGTCCGTTGAAGGATCTTCAACTCAGCTGAGGGTGGCAGCTGATATAATTGTTGAAGGGAGGAAAATATGAGTGCGATATGTTCGTCCCTTAGGGGAAGTGGAGAAAGCAAATATCCACTGGTCAACTATAGGGGGAATGCGCAAAGCGCGTGATAAGGCGAAAGCGCGGGAACAAAGGCGCTATAGGCGCGCGAAGCGCGGGAAAGTCGCGCGTCAAAAAGCGGAACTGGGTGAAAGCGGTATGCGAGCGATAGTGAGATGTTAAGACGTGCACTGAGATGCTGATAAGACAAACTGATGCGGATATGGCCACTAGAGCTAACTGCTACTAGGGCTTGCGATGA